AAAGTAAAGATGTGGATTTTTCTGTCTCCAGTTTGAAAGCTCCCTAAATTCCATCCATGGGACTGTCAGCTCCAGCCTCTCCCTTCTCAATAGTCTTCTGGTCCCTTGTGAGCCTACGGAGTGTAATATGGGGCCTAGAACACAATAGAGCCTAGTATTTGCCTTTTGGGGGTGAAAATGGGCCTTGCCAGTCCTCATTAAGCATTAAGCGCAGACTTGCCCCAGCTGGGGTGAGCCAGCCGGGATGGGTGACCAGATGCTTCCTTCAGGAGACACAGGTGCTGGAATGCCTCACAGAGCCTCCCGCTTCCCAGCAGCTGCCTGGAACTGGGCCCCTCCCTGCACAAGAGGAAGCAGGGTTCCAGGATGCAGGGCTAAGAGGGGACCTTCAGGCCTGGTTTATCCTGGCCCACAGGGCTCCTCTGCAGCCTGTTGAAGACGCCACGTGGTTCACAAAGCCTGGGCTTTTGGGCTTGGCCTGTGTGCTGCCAGCAGCACGCACTTTCCCTCTTTGGCCCCAAATGGGCATGGCATGTGCCCCCCACCCCACCCAACCCTGTTTAGCTGAGGCTGTCCTGCTTGACAGATGGGCCATTTGCTTCCTGCACTAGAGCTGAGTGGCCGGCTGCCTGGTGGAAGGCTATAATTAGCAGAGTGGAGCGGATGGGATTGCATGCTGGCATTGACAGATAATTTTATCCTCAGATGGATAAACTGATGTCATCGGAGATGTAAATATCATTTGGAAATTTTGAAGTCCTTGGGAAGGTTTATGCCGGCCTCTCCCCATGCCCGCTGCTCTTGGGAGCATTTGAATGGGGAGGCCGGAGAGGTCTGTGCTGTATGGGGAACTGCCTGGGAGTTGCCTGCCAGGCTGCTGGGAGGGTTGGGGTGGCAGCTCCTTCTGCTGGACCAGGAGAAATAGGGCCTAGGATGGCTTGAGGGAGTCCTGGGTTTACATTTGCTTTTGGGAGCTTTTCCCGTGGCGTTTGTGGTCTGGAAATGTCTCAAGGGTAACCAGCAAGGAAATGGCAATGCTTTATAATGGCAGAGTGAGATCAGAGCAGGGGAAGTTTTGTTTTCTGCCAGCAAGGCTGTTCTGGAGTGAGTCCCGGGACTCTGGGGAGCTTGTAAAAGTAAAAGAAGCCACTGACTGGCTTTATGGAGAGGGCTGGGGCCAGTTCTGCTCAGCACTGGGGTCAGTGGCAGCTCTGGTGTTTGGGGGATGGTTTTCAAAGCAGAGTACCTTAACTCAGAAGCACAGTCCCAGGCTGTGGAAGGAAGAATGGGAACAGGCTAGGACAGGGGAAGGGGGAAGGATGTCAGTTGTCATCCTGCCAGAGAAGAAGAAGGATTTCTTTTTACAACAGGGAATGTAGAATTTTAAAAGTATATCAGTCCAGTTCTGAAAATGTTAAGATATAATAGTTGTGTTGGTTCTGTGACAGGGTGAGAATTATGCTTTTCATCAAGATGAAAGAAAAAACCCCACCTCTGCCACCCTGGAGTACTTGAGTCCTTGAATATTTTATTCACTACATGCCTGGGCTCTGACAACTTTCATGCTCTGTGGGGTTCTTATTTAACTATGATTCTCTGCTTTGAGGTAGATGAGCCTCAGTTCTCCTTTGCTTGTCCAGGGTTAGAGTTTAGTGGGTGATTCCTCTTGGGTGGAGTCATTGAGGATGGGGACTTGG